AACGAAGGGGAAAACCCTTTTGTTTTGTTTTGGCGGACAACTGAATGGAGTAAGAAATTTTCTTTCGACTTTTGTCATTTTTGTTCAGCCATTTCAATATCTGGGTTGGTTTTAGCATTGACCTTTTTATTTTCCATCAGCTCCTTAGATTTTTGGCTACCTTTAAAACGGAAAATAATTGGAAGCAAAAGTTCGGTTTTAGTCGGAGCGAAAGTGTGGAATTTTCCTGCATTCGACATCAAGAGCAACATCAAAACTTGATCATTGAAGAGTATTTAATGCACTCCTCGTACGTATGAGCATACCTTTGTTATTCATATTTAAATCGCTTTAAAATCGCATATAAAAATCGTATAACCAATTGAAGTGCTTCCATTTCAGATCACCATAGATGATGTCGGAGCATAAACTCGATTGTTTATGGGTTTAAGCCGCTTGGTCTGGGCCAGGTTGTCTGAATAGTCTCGGCCTCGACTTCGGCCTCTCTCCGCCTCCGCCTCCGCCTCTGCTATCTGCGTGACCAGGTTGCTCTCCACCGGCGATGTTGCTGCCTCTAATCCATGGCAATTAATTACATCGTTACACGCGCAGCCGCCAAACAACTTAATACAACATAAATAATTGTCAAAATGTGCGGCCACAGACGGGCGAATTAGTCTTCATTATGTCAATAAATCTTGGCCAATTGCGGCGCAACCAAGAGATCTCGTTGCATGCCACCAGCATTACGATATATGGGATGCTAGTGCCAGGCCAAAAAAGAGAAAAAACTCCTTTTGGGTCCAGTTTTCTTATCAACAAAACGTTTTCCTTTCTTCTAAAGGAAATGCCAATTGCCATATTGATGGATTGCTTTGGAGCGACATATAGAGACACAGAGAGAGAGGATACCATAGTTGTATCTATGGACAGCGGACCCACCATTTATGGCCGTCTCCTATGGATGATTATGGTCATGACAACTTAATGATGAAGCGCGCCTACTCTTCATGGGAACCCGATACTCAGGCCCCAGTCTCTGGAAGCCTCTCAAGTCGCTGACCGAAACCGAAAAGACTGGCAAATATTTGCATAAAAATCAACGCTGACTACTGCCCCTTGTGACATTAACAAGCCACAAAAGGAAGCAGCCAGCCAGCCAGCCAGCCAGCCAGCCAGCCACTGTGATACGACAAAATTTTAATTAAAAGTTTAGTGGAGCGAGAGACACACGCCAACGACACAGCAACCGGCAGCAACAACATCAGTGGCAACACCAGATCTTCTTGGTTGCAATGCAACCGCAAAAGGGTGCTGAGGTAGAATGCCGTGCCGTGCCGTGCCAAGCTGGGGCCGTGCAACAAGTGTCAGGCAGGCAACATGGCTAACAAGCGTCAACCGTCGCCGCTTTTTCTGTTCTTTTTGCTGTTTTTGGTACCCTGTTTAGGTTGTGTACCGAGGAAATATTTTGATGGCATCACATAGTCTTTGTTTCGAATGTTTTAATAATTCTAACTTGTTTCGGGTGAGCGGGGAGGGTCTCATATTTTTCTATATTTGTAAAATTATTAATTTAAAAAAATATTTAAAAATTTATAAGGTATCACAAAGTCGCACGTCATTAACTTTCTTACTTGTGTTTTGCTGTTGCTTTTGAAAAAAAAAGTATACGATACCAGTAACAGAATTGGAATAAAATTGTAAAAAAAAAAAGTATAAAAATTCGAAACAAAAAAGAGAGCAACAACAACATGGACTGGACGAGGTGTTAAGTTAAGGCAAATATGCAAGCACTTTACACAAAAAAAATTGTACATGCTACATGCTACATGCTGCCTGCAATAATTGAAAAATCATGTTGCCACACACACACATAAACTAAATGTTGCAGCGCGCCCAAGCAACATGTTGCTACACGATTATGTGCTTAGGCGGCAACACACACAAGAGACCCTACCCGCGCGAAACACCCAACCGACGGCAATGAGCCAAGGGGAGGGAAGGTCAAACACTGTAAAACATGAAAAATGAAGGAAAAAAAAAGAACACTGGCTGGCTGCACTTTACAAAAAATGTACGGAATCTGACAGGATGGTTGGAGAGGTGCATGAGGATGGAGGATGGTCTTCCAAATGCAAATCATAAAAGGCCAATCGACTGGGAATTTTCTGTGAAAAGAGCGACAAACTTTTTGGACTCACAGGCATCGCATTCTGATGTGGTGGATGAGGAACACATTTCTGGCATAACTACTTCAAAAAGAAAATATAATTAATAATCCCATTTTTAAGCAATATTTCCTCACACATTCCCCCTTAGAATTCCGCGAATAATTGGCTACATTCTCTTATCAGTCCTGCTGCTCAGGCATCGCCCACTGTCTTTGTTATTTTAGCGATTTCCCCCAAGCGGATTGCACAGATGTGAAGCAACAGCAATATTTGCTCTGGTTTGCCTCAGTTTCAGCTACAGATTCCAATGGGAGTACAGCTGTGGGTGCCCTTGCAAGAATGGCAGAAAACCGCAGATGGACACGTACGTAAATAAATAAAAAGTGTGCACGAGTACGAGTATGTTTGTATATTCACACCGCAGCGGAAGCTGCAGTAACTGCAACTGCAACTGCAGCAGCAACATCAACAGTGGCAACAGCATCAACAACCGTGCAGCAAACAGTTGAAACAACAAACATTGAATGCCGCCACCGCAGTTTCAGCTGCAATTGCCACTGATCGCGTCGATTCAATTAGTAATTCTAAAAAGCGGCAAGGCGACGTCTTTTGCATCTTAATGAGTATTGTTTGCTGTTGGTCCTGTCCCTGTTGCTGTTCCTGCCGCATAGCACATTTTGTGTTTGTTTTTGTTCATAACAACAAGCAACAGCGACAGAGACAGGCCATGCTTTTCAGGGCAAGTTTTTCCAATTGCCGGCACTGCACTTTTCATGCCCAAATGCAGTTTGCAGTTGCCACCGCTGCTGCGTCTGTTGCAGTTGCACATTGACTACTATTTTTGTCATTGCCGTCGCCAATGTTGTCCACGCACTCGTCGGGCAACATGTTTGCGCGTTCGTCTCCGGCTCCAGCTCCAGGCCTTTTCCACAGAAAATGTAATTACAGTGATTTAATTTTGATACCTCTTTAGTCGGAGTTTATCAGCTTTGATTTTATGGGATTTGTGAAACACAAAAGGCTGCGGGAACTCAAAGGATCGATCTATCGATGTGTTGCCTTTCACTTATGGGAAATTGGGCAATGAAAAAGTAGCGAGTGGTAGGCAGAAAGTTTAACAAACGCTTCCACTTACTGATTTATAATTATATTAGCTTTAGATCTAAATTTCATTGTTTTTTAAGAGCGAATTCTCGTTTGATTCTACGAGATCATCTATATCCCTGCAAGCATCGGGTATCCTTTAGTCGTTAGACTCCTTTCTCACTGTAGCCTTCATACTCGTTTTACTTTTTTTGTTCTTCAACATTTACTTCTATTGCACTTGCTGCTGAGACTGTTGACTGCTTCTCTTACTGCTGCTGCCTGCTGCCATTTCTGTACGCGCATTACAAACTTGGCTCAAATTAATTCTTCAAGCCCAAATGCGCTCTCTTGGCCGGGGCCACAGCTAATCAAACTTTAATCAATGCGGCATTTTGATGCGACATTGCTGCTGCTGCTGCTGCTGCTTCTGGCTGCTTTTTATCCTCTTTCCTTTGGTTTCCTTTTTTCTTTGTAGTCAGTTCCATAGTTGGAACGATGGGAAAATATGCGGCACTGACTGACTGAGAGAGGAAATCTCTGCAAAGGCAGAGCCAAGAAATTGTTATTAATCTGGAATGGTCATAGACTCGACTCGTACTCGTACTCCTATAAAGGAAATTATATGACCGAACCGCTTAGGGGAATACTTTAAATGCTTGGCAAAACCATTTTGATATTTGCTAAAAGCTGCAATCAATTAGATATTGTTGGTTTTGATATGATAATTGGACAGCGGCCATGGGCAGTAGTTTTTATGGGTTGCTTGCACTGGAAGCGGTTTTTTAATGGGGGTAAGAATTTCTTAGGGTACTCAAGTTCGACCACTCAGATCCACAATCTTAAGTGTAAATTCTTAATATTTATTCTCGCTTAAATCTGTGAACACTGTGTTGCAGCTTCAAATATTATGTTGGTGGTGTGCCATTTTCTATCGAATTTTGAACTTTGACTTGTTTTTAATTCGCGTGCCACTTTTATCGCTCAATCGTATGGTACATACATTTGTACATATTCCAATTATTTCCCATGATATACAATTATTAATAGATCACACGCCATGCCTGACAAATAGCCGTGTTCCAAAAAAAAAACATTCTGGTAGGGCACATTTTTCGAGTGGCTGTACAAATTACCCATAAGCGAACGGACATATCACCTGTGTTTCGTGAGGAATATTATTTTAATTATTAAATCAATTTCCAAATGATTTTACAGCAAAATTTGTTGAAGAAATTCTTTAACAGTTTATTTGCAATCCTTTCACAGCTTAAGGCTCATCCATTACTCAAGTTTCACACAAGAAGGCATGAATATTCCTTGCAAATATTATTCCCCGTGTAGAGTATTTGCCAAGCAGCTTCCCTTCTTCTTTTGCGCTTGAGCAAACACTAAAATACATATCGACTGTACTCTATTGAACTTGGGTGCGTTTTTAATCGCGTATAATTTTATATGAGTACATAAAAAGATTAAACGTGAGCTGCAGATAATAAAGGCAATGCACGACTGCTCTACACCTCGTAAATGATCGTTGATAGTTTGAATAAAGCAACAAATAGACTTCGGTAAAGCAAGCAATAAAATATCGCAATGGATTTACAGATTACTTTTACAACTTTTATAAAATGCAATCTAAACGAGCATTAAATTACTCAAACAACAGGCTGATAGAGAATAAAAGTATTATACTATATGCACAAAAAAGAAATTGTTGATTGTGACACTATCAGCAGGCGACTTGATCCGAAAGCTGTGTACAATAATTCTAAGGCCCAGTGGGCTGTGAGAAGCGCCGTGAATCGCATCAGCCGGGGCAATAACTAAAGCAAAAACCATGTTGATCGCACTGCTGGGCACTCCGCTCTTGGTCCTGGCGGTGTGGCTGCTGCTGCAAAGACTCAATCGAACCTACTTTATTCTCGCGCTGACCAGGCGAGTGCGCACCGAGGATGGCAGTCCGCTGGAGAGCAAAGTGGCCGTCATGCCGGGCACATCGATTTTCGGCAACAATTTGGACATACTCAACCCTACACCATGTAATTTGAGATTGTTTCTGTGAAGTTCTTGGTGTAATGGCCTCTTCCCCGCAGCCAGTTTGTTCAATTTTTTGCGAGATTCGGCTGCCAAAGCGCAGGGCAGAAACTTTTTGTGGTACTTTCTGTTTGCTCCCATGTACAATGTCATTAGAGCCGAGGAGGCCGAAGAGATATTCCAAAGCACCAAACTGATTACAAAGAATGTGATCTACGAACTGTTGAGACCCTTTCTGGGCGATGGTCTGCTGATTAGCACAGGTTTGTGGTGGCAAAATCTCAGAAAAAATCTCTCAATTTTTAACTCCTTTGAAAACTTCAACAGATCAGAAATGGCACGCCAGACGCAAAGCTCTGACTCCTGCCTTTCATTTCAATGTTTTGCAGTCCTTTTTGGCCACTTTTAAGTGAGTGTTTAACTAGTTAAAGTTACTTGTGACTAATCACTGATTTACTACAGAGAGGAATGCAATAAGCTGATCAAAGTGCTGGACAAAAAGTTGGATGGGGAACTGGATCTTAACCAGGTCATTCCACAATTTACATTGAATAATATTTGCGGTGCGTCATTGACTAATTGAAGTGCCCTTAAATGCTGCAAAGTTGATTATTATTAATAATTATCTCTCCTTTTAGAGACCGCTCTGGGCGTCAAGCTGGACGACATGTCGGAGGGCAATCAATATCGCAGAGCCATCCATGCCATCGAGGAAGTTCTCATACAACGCGTCTGCAATCCGCTCATGTATTACAATTGGTACTTCTACCTGGTCGGCGACTATCGAAAGCAGGTGCAGAATCTGCGCATAGTCCATGACTTCTCCAGTCGCATCATCGAGCGCAAGCGACAGCAGTTTAAGCGCAAACAGCTCGGAGTTGTGGATGATTTTGGCAAGAAGCAACGCTACGCCATGCTGGACACGCTACTGGCGGCTGAAGCGGATGGGCAGATCGATCATCGGGGCATATGCGATGAGGTGAACACCTTCATGTTCGAGGGATACGACACCACCTCCACGTGCCTCATCTTCACTCTGCTGATGTTGGCACTCCACGAAGATGTTCAAGAGAAATGTCTGGAAGAGGTGTCAGGGCTTTCCGAAGACACGGACTCCATCAGTGTGTTTGAGTTCAATGAACTAATGTACCTAGAGTGTGCCATCAAGGAATCGCTGCGCATGTTTCCCTCGGTTCCCTTCATTGGTCGTCAGTGCATGGAGGAGTGTGTCGTGAATGGACTGGTCATGCCGAAGGATACACAAATCAGCATTCACATCTATGAAATTATGAGAGATCCACGGCACTTTCCCAACCCAAATGAGTACCAGCCGGAACGATTCCTGCCCGAGAACACAGTGGACCGCCATCCCTTTGCCTTTGTGCCCTTCAGTGCGGGACAAAGGAACTGCATTGGCCAGAAGTTTGCCATTCTGGAGATCAAAGTACTGCTGGCTGCAGTCTTAAGAAACTTTAGGATACTTCCCGTCACACGATTGGAGGATCTAATATTTGAGAATGGCATCGTGATGAGAACACAGCAGAATGTGAAGGTTAAGTTGGTGCGAAGGTAGAAGGCGGGAATTATAAACGAAAAACTTCATTGCCAAAGATGTACCAAAAATTACGTGAAACTTAATTTATTCTGTTAATAAAAGTGTATTATGAATTGTATATATTTAAGTGTGTTACAAACATTTGTTTCAATCATTTCAAGCGGTAATAATTATAATTACAATGAATTGACAAAAAGTTTCAACTATAAGCTGTTTTCCCTGTGAAACTCGAGAAATAATGGAAAAACTCTTGCCCTAAAGTTGTCCAAAATAAACCAGCGAGTGTTACGAGTTATCAGAGAGATTCTTTCTTTGAAGTCGCTGTATCAAATCGGAATTATTGGTTGCATAATTTCCCTAGTAAACAATTTCTGGGCAGCTCCACAAGGATGGGAAAAGCTAAGAACAAATATTATTCAAGTTGCCATAGCAACTATCAAAACCGATCTACCCTTCTGAATCATTCAGAGCAATGCGTGTATGTAAACATGTTCAACACTATCTACTCGTTTTATATATTTATAATAGTTCAGTCCACAGAGAAATTAATCGACCCCAGCCATTCATAGATTAGAGCTGAATCTGTGAAGTGGCCGCAGTTCTCTCTCCGCTGGTCTGAAATGTTTGAAATTGTGCTCGGCATACCGCTGATTGTGCTCCTTTGCTATGTCCTGTTGCGGCGTCTCAATCGCAGGTACTTTGTACTGAGTCTATGCAAACGATTCCAAACAGAGGATGGCAGTCCGCTGGAGAGTAAAATAGCTGTAATGCCGGGACGGACGCGGTTTGGAAATAATTTTGATTTGCTCAACTTTACGCCGTGTAAGTGGGAAAACAGACATTTGTGGGACATCGCTGACTGTGAATATTTGCAGCTACTGTGTTCAATTTTATGCGCGATTCGTGTGCCAATGCCCGGGGACGCAACTATTTGTGGTACTTCTTCCTGCTGCCCATGTACAATGTGATTAGAGCCGAGGAGGCTGAGGAGATATTCCAGAGCACCAAGCTGTTGACAAAGAACGTTGTTTATGATCTGCTCAGGCCATTCCTGGGCGCAGGTCTGCTGACCAGCACAGGTGTGTGACTCTTTACATTGTTCCTTGACCCTTTCATTAATTTTACCTTTTTTCAGATCAAAAATGGCATGCCAGACGCAAGGCTTTGACCCCTGCCTTTCATTTCAATGTGCTGCAATCCTTTTTGACCATTTTCAAGTAAGTGTTTGGTGCCACGAGAGGATTCACGGTTTTAAATTGTGTAAATTACAGAGAAGAGTGCCACAAACTGGTCAAAGTGCTGCATGAGAGTGTGGAGGCCGAGGTGCTGGTGCTGAATCAAGTCATTCCGCAGTTCACTTTGAATAATATTTGCGGTAAGTGCAGAGACACATCTCATCATGACTGGCAGACTTTCTCACAGACTAAACTTTGCTACACAGCGTGCAAATTCAAATTAAACAAATAATTGAAAGTGTAATGTGTAGCATGATAAGCGGCAGAGAATGTATAATGTAGCTTTCTACTACTTGTTTCTCTTTATAGAAACCGCTCTTGGCGTCAAGCTGGATGACATGGCCGAGGGCTACCAATATCGCGAGTCGATCCACGCCATCGAAGCGGTCATCCTGCAACGCATTTGCAATCCTTTTCTGTACAATCGTTTGTACTTTTATCTCTACGGCGACTATCGCAAGCACGTAGACAACCTAAAGATTGCCCACGACTTCTCCAGCAGCATCATCGAGCGCAGGCGGCGGGATTTCAAGCGCAAGGAACTCGGAGTTGTGGATGATTTTGGCAAGAAGCAGCGGTACGCCATGCTGGACACGCTACTGGCGGCTGAAGCGGATGGGCAGATCGATCATCAGGGCATATGCGATGAGGTGAACACCTTCATGTTCGAGGGATACGACACCACCTCCACGTGCCTCATCTTCACTCTGCTGATGTTGGCACTGCATGAAGATGTACAGGAGAAGTGTCTGGAGGAGGTTTCTGGGCTTCCAGAAGATACAGATTCCATCAGTGTGTTTGAGTTCAATGAACTGGTCTTCCTCGAGTGTGCAATCAAGGAATCGCTGCGCATGTTTCCCTCGGTTCCCTTCATTGGTCGTCAGTGCATGGAGGAGTGTGTCGTGAATGGACTGGTCATGCCGAAGGATACACAAATCAACATTCACATCTATGACATTATGAGAGATCCACGACACTTTCCCAACCCAAATGAGTACCAGCCGGAGCGATTCCTGCCCGAGAACACAGTGGACCGCCATCCCTTTGCCTTTGTGCCCTTCAGTGCCGGACAAAGGAACTGCATTGGCCAGAAGTTTGCCATTCTGGAAATGAAAGTTCTGCTGGTCGCAGTCTTAAGGAACTTTAAGATACTTCCCGTCACTCGATTGGAGGATCTAACAATTGAGAATGGCATTGTGTTGAGAACACAGCAAAAGGTGAAAGTTAAATTGGTGAAACGTGTGGAATAAAAATGTTTTTATAAATCACTTTGGCCCATCAACTGAAATAAATTGAATGTTACATAAAAAGGTTAAAAAATGTTACACGACATTTCAGTATGGCGACACCTGCTGGCACATTCGTGAAACTGCATGTATAGTAGAGACATGGTATAAAATGTACGTAAAATGTAAAGTGTGTGTTGAAGGTATATGTAGTTCTTGAATATTTGGTTACATGAGTGCAGAATGTAAATAGTTCTCATGAAAAAATAGCTTGTTTTATAAACAAATGAATTATCAATAAATATATGATACAATAGATGCTCTATTGAGGGGCAAGAACAGTAAAGTTGCATTGGAGTATCGAGACTTGTTGGAGTAACATTTTCCAATCAGAAATGTACAGGAATGCCTGCCTGTTGCTGGCAGGTGGACGACAGGAAAACGCGGTTCAAAATGGCAGGCAGTGTGAGTTCAACAACATTTTAATCAAATGCAATGACCATAAATGCATTTAGAAACATTATGCACACACTTAGGCTTATAAAGACTGTAGTTTAAGCCAATTTCAACAAGATTTTCGGTATGTCCTGGCCATTACCACATTAATGGCGCAGCCTTGCAAGTGCTGGAACTTTTCTGGCATCAAATTCATGGAATTTATTTGTGGCTTGTCAGTCTATGTTTCAGAGTGCCTTCACAATTCATTAATTTAATTAACTTAATGCCATTTTACGTATCGAATAACAAAACAAACCGCATTCACCACACACACAACAGCACAACACTCACACACACTTGGCCAAACAAACAAGCGATGAAAAACATGTCGTCCCTGGGTTTTCCCGCCTTCGACGACTGTTTAATCCTTTTACTTTCACTTATATAGTCTTTAGATTGGGACTCACCATTTATTAGTTGCACAAAAACCACAAATACACAAGAAACAAACAAAAAACAGCACATTATTATTATTGTTATTCCAATTAGCTTTCAGTGTGACCGCGGACTTATCGATGGCCTAAACCGAGCAACCCTCAAAAATAGACCGAAATATTTTAAACATACCGCAGATATACAATGCATCCCAAGTAATTTTTCTCAATTTTGGTATTCTGATTAATAAAACCAGCTAGTGAGAACTCTCAGCATTAAACTAACAATTTTATTTGATTCATCAATCAATATTCCACAAGATTGACTTGTTTTTTTGACTCCATTTTATTAGATTGTTTAGCTGAACACAATAAATGTCGGTATATGCAATGGGGAACCAATAACTAAAATGGTGACGGTTAGAGATTGAGGTTGCAGTCTCAATACATTGATGCAAATACGTACTGGAAATACTCTGTAATGTCCTGAAAAATGTAATAAAACTAACCCAATGCTATTGCGTTTTTTAAATAATTGTATATTTGGTTTTTTTTTGTTTCTTTTATTATTTTTTGATACTCTTTGTTGATACTTTTAAAAAGTAAATTTCTATTCTGATCGAAAGTATTGGGTAAAGCAGCGTTGACCACACATAAATACATACATTTAACATGGAGTCTCTCTACGTAATGTGTTGAATCCGAAATATGTAATACATAATAGATTGTGGGGAAGCTTTTTGCCCCAGTACAGATAAACCGAGAAAAAATGTTTAACAAAAATGTTTTGCGTTCGCAAAAGCAATCGAATAGTATTGGCTAACTTAAATCGCATAAATACAAAATAGATACATTACATTCAAATGTAGAGTATAAGATAAGTGTGTATGGTTTACAGATGTACAGGTCTTTTTTCGTTACATATTATTCATATATCAATATCATAGATCATGTTTGTTTCTTTTGCTTTGTATTGTTTTCGTTTGTTTGTTTGTTTGCTTGTCTTTGTTCTACCAATAAAATTAACAACAATTCCGATGCATTTGGGATTGGGCACGTGATAAACATTTGATAAACGTGGGGGTTTGTGGGGGTATGGGCACGACTGTCTCTACTTCAGACGCATAACAAATTTAAAATACTGTTCTCTCATCTCTTTCTACTAAGATAATTAATATATTGTATGTTATTATACGTTAACTATTTTTTTTTTCGCGTAGTCAATTATTAAGGTCAACATTGCAGTAGAATTTTACACATATATAGCGATATCTATATATATAAATATTTAAACGATTACGCGCGCGTGTAAATAGTTTCTCCATTTAGTTAAGTTATTAGTCGATTATTGTGTTACAAATTGGTACTTTAGTGTGTTGGAGATTGTTCCTCTTTGCGCGTGGGTGAGTTTAGTTTTTCGTATCGATGCTGTGCCTCTCTTTTTTGTGTGTCCGTACAACATTAATTTTACACAACGCACACTCAAAAAACAGTTTATAAATTAAGTCTATAACATTCATAACGATTATGCAGCATGATTTTGCGGTGCATGAGTTCAAGTTCGATGTCTCTCTATTGATTGATTAATTGGGTTTTTTTGTTGTCTTGGTTTTTGTCTTGTGGTTTCGACTAAGGCATGCCTGGTAGTCCGCCCAGGGCGGCACCAACTAGACGCTGCTGCTGCTGCTGTTGCTGCTGCTGCTGCTGTTGGTGTATTAGATTCACGCGCGCACGCTGCTGCTCCAAGCGCTGCACGGTGGCGGTCAGATGGGAATTCTCCACATACAGATCCTTGACAAGAATGTCGGCATTCTGCAGACGTTGCGTCTGATCGGCCAGCATAACGCCCTGCGCCTCGATGCGGCCATGCAAATCATTGAGTTCCACTTGATGCTGACGCCAGGATTCTAAGAGTAAAAACCCACAGAGAATTATGTGAATTATTGCCTAGTAATTGCTATACTTACGCTGCATCAGGGACTCGGTGTATTGCTGCTGCTGCTTGATCACATTCTGCAGATGGCGATTTCGCAGCTCCAATTGGTTCAGTCGCTGCTGAAGCGTTGGATGCGTTGTTCGCTATAATGAATTCCAAATTTAATCAAGTTAAACCTTCGGCTAACCGCTTGTCCGACTCACCGCATAGGCCTTCTCGAGCACAGGTCGGGCCTCCTGCAACTGTTGCAGTTCCATGACCAAACCGTCACGTTGCAGACTCAAATCCTTGATCTGTTCCTTCAGCGACAGCTCAAAGAACTTGAGGCGCTTCAGTTCCTCCTTCAGCACATTCGGACTGCTGCACTTTTCGTGGCTGCGGCATGAGGCCTTGCTGTTGGACACCACGCTGTGCGTATCGAAGCTCTTGTTGGATGCCGTCGAAGAGGTCTCACAATCGGCTATCTCGCCCTCCGACTGCGCCTGCTGTGGACTCTGTGATCGCTTGGGTTTGCTGATAGGCGCCGGTCCGGATGCACCTGCATGTGCGGAAGATGAGCCACTGTTGGTGGGCGAGCCACCCGACGATGTGCTGTCAAACGGTGTCGTACTAAAGATGGATGTTTCCGAGGTGGTGAGGTTGTTTCTGTTGTCGGAGAACATTGAGGAACAGTGTGAGATCAGTCTGGAATATCTCTATATACAATAGGAATGTATTTAACGTGCCGGAATGTAACCCTGTTTAAATATGGTACTCATACATACATATTTAAGAGTCAGAAGTCGATCTCTCAGACTATAAGATCAAAAATATATGATGAATACGCTAATCTGAATATATCATTCAACTGGACTCTTATTTATTATGGAATAATAAATCCTATACTATTTTTAGCTACTTTTGAGTTCGTTTTCTTCGCTTCTTGACACCATTTCTATTGATTTTTTGCTAGACTTTAAAGTTACTTTATTCTATATCTTTTTCCAAGTCTTTATATATATATTTTTTAAGAGTCTTGAAATAATCACATGATAATCACACCAATTTAACGTGGATGTGAATTGGCCCTGAAGATATCAATGTCAATAGTCATATAGAGACGATTAGTATAGGAATATATATATATCCATAATCTTATGATCTATAAATAATGTACATCATAACGACTATTTTGTGAAAAGATTGTGTAAAAGTTCTATTGATATTCTAAAGCATCAAAGCATTTATTGCGAAACAAACTGTGCATACGATCAGCTCGCAAAATAAGAGTCGATATGTAAATAGTACTGCAAGATCTCTTGGTAAAGGTCCTTGAGAAACTTTGAGAAAATTAAAAGTAAACGAAACTAGCAGAAACCGCAATAAACCTATTTTTAATATCATAAGTTATATGCAACTTAATCAAATGAAATGTGCTGTATGGAAATAAATGAATAAGTGCTAATAAATGTAGAAAAAAATGTTAAACCTCAACATTCATCATTATAAATTATATTTATTGGACAAAACACACACATAAATTACAAACTAGTTTAGTTTAAGCTTAAAAATGATTTAAAATGGAACACAAAGCATATATACAGGATGGTTAAATAATGAGGATGAGGATGTTAGCAACAGCCACAAATAGGGTGAACAAAACGTGAGACACAAAGAGACACAGAGAATGCACAGAGAGGGAGCTTCATGGAATACTCACCGACTGGTCGCCTTGTGCGTTGGTGAGCCACCAGCAGACAGCAAATCGAGAGCACTGCCACCAGCACTTGTTTCATCTGCGGCGCCTTGACCAAACGTCTTGGCTGGCTCCTGGATGGTGCTCTGCAGCCAGAGGTAGCTGATGGGCGAACTGGCGGGACTCTTGCCCGCATCGGCGCTCAGCTGGGCAATCGACTCCGAATTGAGTTCACAGGCACCAGTTAGGATTTCCACGCTCTCGCCGAGTCGCTGCCGCAGATCCTCGATCTCGCACTGCAGCGAACCAATCTCCTGGGACTTCTCCTCCAGCATGCGCACAGTGCTCGAGCGCAGCTGCGCGGCCTCTGCCTCCAGCTCCGTGTACTGCTGCTCGAGCATGTCACGCTCATCGATGGGCGAGAGGCGGCCATCCTTGCTGAACTGCTCCTCGTATTCGCGCACCTTCTCCATCAGTTCGGTGAACTTTTTGTCGCTCTCCTGCTGCTCATCCTCGTAGATCTGGCGCTCCTTCTCGAACATCTGCCGCTCCTCGCCCAGCTTCGACTGCCAGTAATCCTCGCAGTCCTCGTAGGCGCGTTGCATTTGCTCCAGGCTGCTCTCCAGCTCCTTGCAGCGACTGTCTGGTGTGGCCACCGTGGCTGTGCCTGCGGACGCCGCTTGCAATTGCTCCTCCAACTGCGCTATGCGCTGCCTCAGGCTGGTGAGCTCTTCATCGTGGCTCTTGCTACGCTGCAACTCCGAGTTGAGGGCCAGCCAGTCGCCGCTGTTGCTGTTGCTATTGTCGCTCAGCTCGCCATCGGTGCACTTGCGCTGCTTGCCCAAACGCGGACTCTCCTCGGTGATGAGCGTCTTGCTGGGTGAGTCGCCGCGTCGCTTGGTAGCCGCCACGCCACCAGCGGCTGCCGCTGCCTCCGAGTCTTGTTCCTGCTTCTTGCTTCGGGTCTTGGCACGCGTCAATTCCACGCTCAGGCTCTCAATTTCGATGGTCAGCTCGTCAGTCTTATCGCGCAGCTGGGCGTTCTCCATTTGAAGAGCGGCCAACTTCTCCATCAGCTGCAGCATCTCCTCCTCATCCCCCGCTGACTTGTCAACGCTGTCGCGTCTCGCACTGTGAGGACTGCGCTCGGGACTGCTGCTGCTGCCGTGCTGATGACGGCCGGATAGCTCATTGTTCAGCTTGATATTCTGCTCGAGCAGTTCAGTCATTTGGAGATGCGCCTTCTGCTGCTCGGTCTCCAGTTCGGCGTTCTCGTTGCGCACCAGCTCCAGCTCAGTCTTGAGCTTGATCTCCTCCTGTTCGAGTTGCTTTAGCTGCGCCTCCAGCTTCCCCGTCATGGCCGTCCAATGGTCACGATCGTTGCTCATGCGCAGCGTCAGTTCACGCACCATGCTGGCATGCCGCTGCTCCAGCTGTTGCACCTGCTGCTTCGAGTTATCCTCTAGCGTGGCATGCCGTTCGTCCACCTCGGCGGCCAGCAAAGCCACCCGCTGATTGGCCGCCTTATTGTCCGAGCGCAGCTTCACATTCTCCTCGTGCTGCTGGCGATAAGCCCGACGATAATTGGCCAACTCCGACGACTGCAGGGCCACCAAGGCACGCAGCGTATTCGTGTGCGGATCCTGTTCCAGTGGACTCCGCGACTCTTCCTCCAGCACCTTGGTCAGCTGCAGCAGGTTCACATCCTCCTCATCAAAGCCCAAGGCATGCAGCAGGGCTCGGCTGTTGACAATGTTGGCCTGATCCCAGGCATCGATAATGCTCTCCGCACTAATCATCTCCAGCTGCTGTGGCGTCACGATGTCTGCAATTCTCACGGCAATTAGCGAAGGAACACAAATAATGATAAGATTATCAGTACGAGTCTCAGTCGTACAGTCAATATATCATAAGTATGTACACATTTATAGCCCAAGATACCAGTTGTGTGGGTGGGGTGGGGTGTGGAGTGGGTGAGGAAAAGGGAACAGGGGTGGGTGTGGGTGTGGTTGTGGTTGTGGTGGGTTGGGGATGGTGTAAGCGTAGGCGCCGAAAGTTTAATTCTTTATTTGAGCATCCAACAGTGGGAAGAGTTTTGGCATTTTGACTAGTTTTCTATAAATTTCTACTAAAGAAAAGTGCCAGAGGAGAAGGCCTAATGCTTAGGTTCTACAAGTACACAAATTTCGAGCTGTTTAAATTTCCCATAAGCAAACGGATACTACTATTTCGAATGAAATTTAGAAAGAACATTAACGCTGGCGATTCGGGATTTTGTACGCTAAGATTCCATAAAAAACAACAGAAATTTTTGCAAAAGTAATTGGAACGGAAATTTTGAATTTTGTTTGTTTATTGCTTGTCTAGATATGGCGAAAATGGTCCTACGCTTCATTTTACTATAAAGAATCAATTTGTGAAGGCATTATCAAACATTTTAACGTCTGACAGAGTCCTAAACCTACAAAAAACTTCTTTACTGGGCATTATTTATTCACTTTACTAACGATGTGGAGTAGCTGATCTTCATTTAAAAACTCAGTTCTACTTTAAATTCATTTTCAAACTTAGATCTCGCGTCTCAGCGTTCTCAATTATTCTCTTTTCTAGCATTCGCTTGTGTGTGCCGAGCATCAATGTGCGCTCTCCTGTATCAGCGATGCGTCCACCGCTTTACTATCTATCTAAATCTCTTTGCCAAAACAAATCCCCTGCGGAGTTTGAACTTTGTTTTTGTTTTAGATAGGGTGGGGGAAAAAAGGTAAATAAAATATAGTACGAGTAACGAGCGTATTTATGTGATTATACAACAATTAGACGGTGCGGGCTACATAGAGTGCGATTAGATACCGGATTTTGTATGATTGGAATTGGAATTGAATGTGGAGAATGCTCCTCCTCTACATAGAGAGATAGCGAACGAGAGAGAGAGAGAGAGAGTCGGGCACAAACCTTTGCAGCAGAACAAACGTCCGCCGTGGTAGCATCTCCCGTGCTCATACGCCGGTGCGGTGGCAGACAGAAGGTGGGTGCCTGAACAACAACAAATTGTGTTTTTTTGTCTTTGCTTTTAATCATAATTTCTGGGCATTTTGGGCTAACAAAAGTGTCTGGATTTGCCCGGCTAACCGGGTGTGGGGCTTGGATTTGCTCCAAGTCAAACTTACCCAGAGATTCGACGCTGCTGCTGTTTTGCTGTTGATTCTGATTCTGTTTGGCCAACTGTTTTAGCTTGCTGGCGGCCGTGGGTGATGTCACACCCGCGCCCGATGCTGCACCCATACGCGATTGCAGATTCTTGCGGGCGGGCAGCGAGGCGCAGCGCTTCAGCTTGCTGCCGCTGGTGTGGACGGAACGCAGGCGCCGACTGCCCGGGAGATCGCTCTGTGAGGATGAACGTTGCACCTAGTAGGGTAGTAGGATTTCATTAGCAAGAACAACCAAGAAACGAAGCGTTTCTCTTGCACTTCTTAAACGTTTCCATTGATGGGAAACTCCAGCGTAACCCACCTGCACACTGAGATCATCGCAGCCATTGAGACTCCTTTGCTGCTTCTGTTGCTGATCTTCATCCGTGTTGTCTGAATCCGTCACGGACAGCTCATAGAGTCCACCGCCTCCAGCACCCTGATGTGGCCTGGAGCGGCGTCCATATTTCTTGGTGCCCACAATCAGCTTGGGCGACACCTCACGATCCGACGACTCCGGTGGACTTTCGATGTATGTACTGGCCAGTGGATCATCCGTAATGACCAAAGAACGCTCTAAAATATAAGAAAACACAAAGAAAACTATGAAAAACTAAAGCCAAACGGAAGTTGTGGCTGCTTGTTGTTTGCTACCAAAGCGTGCGGCTAATTTTTCAATAATTGGATCTGTGATTTGACCGCCAGCGCGGCGATAGTAGAAGCGTGTTCCCATTTTGATCAAAGACTAAAGCGTGTGCCAGCAGGAGAGCTGCTCTTATATGTCAGCATCGAGCTACCTGCAGCATCCTGCAGGTAGTTAGGGATATACCCAAGTTGACAGCCGTTAATCATAAAAAGTGGCGATTACATGCTGGGTTTTATGAGCCAACAGCTGCCACCCGCCGCCGCTCGCTAATCCGCGAACTAAATGCCCAAACTGATTATTCGCTCTTACCCATAAATCCCGGCGATGCTGTGCTGCTGTCGAATTCTGCGCCCAGAAAGTTGAGCAGCGCCTCCTTGAACTGCCCGAAGGAAACACCCAATTTGTGAGCACCACAACTGGCGGGCGCCAGGCTGGTGATCAATGCAGCCCCCTGGTCGCGCAGCTCCAGCAGCGAGCAGAGCTTCAGCAGCGAGTTCTCGTCCAGCAGGCCGCAGTGCGTCGTTTCGCAGCTCTGGAACATCTGATACAGTTTCTGTTCATACGGATCGGAGGACACTTCCATTATCACGGGGGACACGCGGATATGCGGGCGCCTGCAGTTTGTAGCCGTTTATGGAAAATCTTGGGGTGAAATCGATAAAGCGCTGCCGCTGCTGCTATTGCGTTGCCGCTGCTGCACCTGGGGGGGAACTTCCACGGCCAGGGGTCGACGAAACTATAAGCGTAAGCGTAAGGGAAGATGGAGGATAGGAGGAGGAGTGTGGTAGGAGCAAGCGCGTGTCTGATTTTGTTGCGTGCAGGACGGGGGAGAGGGAACTCTACACTAAACTATGATATGCACTTTGGAACAAATAACATGAAACACAACACTTGAATGTTGCAGTATTTTGGCTTAAACGATTGATTAAAAAAAAAAACAATAATATAATGCAGTAATAATAGCCGAGCACAGAGGCGCCTTCTGTCGGGCAGAGTGTGACCGCTGATTTGTCGATCAAATATACCGCATTACCATCAAAATTATACCAAACTGTACCTCTTCTTTTACAAAACATATCGTAAATATACAGTATCAAAAACATTTTCCTCGATATTGCTATTCCGTATAAGAATACCAGCTAGTTAGGATTTTCAGCATTTAAACTATATTTTTATCAGATTAATGAATAAATTTTAAACAAGATTGGCTAGTTTTCGTGACTTCCTTATATGTATATGTATATAAAAATATGATGGATAATACAAAAAATGCTCATGCTATAGCACATTTATCGATGTAAAAATGCACATATCAATGAAATATCGATGCACTCATCTGATATATCGATATTGTAGGCACGCTGTCGATAGTGATATCGATGTTTCTGTCCCACCTCTAGAAAATTCCATTTGCAAGCTAAAAAAAAATAAAAAAGAAAAAGCGGAAATATTTTTGTGCCCGTAGCCAAAAAAGCGAAAATCCAATGGAATTAAGGTGCAATAAACGCGTTCCAATGGCTAAGCGTCATTAGGTTTTGTGCGCGAAAAACAATTTGCGTTGGAATATTCGTATTCCGATAGCACGGCCGAATCCTGCCCCCCCTCGCAACGGAGTGTGTGGCTCCTCTTCTGTTGATATAAAATTTGTTGTTTTTATTACGAAACCTCCGGCGTCTGTCCGCATCCGATTGGGAGATCAAGACAGGGATTAGGCGGGGGAACCAACAGTAGCCACATTCTTATTGCAATGGCCATGCACTCGTACATGCGGACGGGCCCCAGCCAGAGTCAGACTCAAGCGAGTAGCCTCAGTCCGGACGAGATGAACGGCTTCCTCAAAGATAAGCAGGCGTGGGAGAATGCGATATCGCTGTACCACGGACAGGATCCACTCGATCACTGGTACAACTATATCTGCTGGTACGAGAATCATGCGCACAGCGATCCTGAGCTGAAGTTCCGAGAGACGCTCGAACGCTGTCTGACCCAGTACGAGCACAGCGATTACTACAGGCAGGATGCGCGCATGGTGCGCCTGTGGCTCAAGTACATAGCCATGCAAACGGAGCCGCTGCACTTCTATCAGGTGCTGTACCAGCGCCGCACGGGTCGGCAAGTGGCCGCCTTCTACATTGGCTGGGCCAGCTACTACGAGTCGCGGGAGGAGTTCAAGGACGCCGAGACTGTCTTCAATCTGGCCTTCCAGGAGAAGGCCGAAAGCAATGCCGAGCTCCAGCATGCGCACACAAAGTTTACCTATGCCCGTTCAATGCATTATCAGCGGCTGCAACAGCAGCAGCAGGCGCAACAGCAACAGCAACAGCAGCAGCAGCCGCCGCCACCCGATGCCTTGCAGCAGTTGGCCAACTACACGCAGCAGCTGCCGCAAAGCTATGCACCACGTCCACAGCCATATCAGCAGCAGCAGCCGCCGCCACAGCACGCGTCTGTTTATCAGCAGCAGCAACAATATCCGCCACAGCAGCCGCCGCCACATCAGCCACCGCCGGTTCATGCGCAGGAACAGGTGGCTGCGTATCAGGCGCATTACCAGGATCAGCCGCGCTATGAACAGCAGCAGCTGCCGCCCCCACCAGCAGCCACAGCACAGCTACCGCAGCAGCCGCAGCCGGAGTATGCGCAGCAGGTTGGTATCTAAAAGGTCTCCTCTTTGTGGCCAAGTTGCTCATGTTTAAATCTCACTTTTAGGCGCACTATCAGCCACCGCAGGAGCAGGCAATGCCACAGCAGCAGTCACAGCCGGAACCGCCACAGCAGCCGCAACATAATGGCAATGGAACTTCCAGCAATGTGGAATGTGCTGCAACTCCAACATTATCTCCTGCCGCCAACTCCGAAGTAGCCGGACTACGTTTGCCGCGCAATTTCCATCCGTATGGCCGGAATAATCACGAGACCTGGAAGCCAGCACTCACGCTGGAGGAGCCCGACGATCCATCGCGTGTGTGTCATTATGCCAAGCTGCTGGTTTATCCGCCAGGCGCTGGCATCGAGTACAGTCCCGAGGAGATATTGGCACGCAAGTACATGCAGAAGCCAACGGCGCAACAAGTGCAGCAGCAACAGGAGCAGGAGCAGCAGGAACAACAGGAGCAGCAGACAATTTATGATTCCTACGAGTCGGAGGCTTCGTACTACATGACGGCCGTGGATGGTGGGCTCTACGGGCAGAGCAGAGGCGACAACAGCGTAGCGGCGACGGAGAAGGTGGTCGTAGAGGATGCTGTGGGGCTGCTAGGAGAGCAGGATGCCGACGAGGAGGAAGAAGGCGAGGGTGAACAGGAGGAGGATGACGACACCGAAGAGGATGAGGAGGAGGAGCAGGATGAAGAAGACGAAGAGGAGAGCAAGCACTACACCAATGGCAACGTTCAGTTTAGCGCACAGACAACCTTCGAGCAGAATAATCGCTCCATCAAGATCAAGTTCAAGAAGGAGCGCACGCTGGCCAGCAGCAGCACCTACAGTGCCTACACCATTGAGAATATCTATCACCATCAGCAACAGCAGCAGCAGCAGCAGCAGCATAACCACCAGCCACAACAGCCTCTTGTGCCGCTGGAGCCACAGCCCGCCTGCTCACCCATAGCAGCTGTCACGACCAACGCGAGCATACAGCGTCAGCGCAATGGTGGCCATCACTTTCATCCGTATCTGCTTGGCCAGACCTCCACGCCCAAGAGCGAGGCGAATGGCTATCGACGCGCACGCACCAAGGTTAAGCGTAGCAAGTTTCAGCTGCCAGATGTATGCAGCAACAGCAACTCTTCCTCTGCAGCAGATGTCACCGCTTCATCTTCGGTTGCCGCTGCTGCTCCTTCTGCTGCTGCTGGTGCAGCCACTGCCTCGGCAAGTGCCGCCCTGCCCATACACAATGCTACCTTCAATGACAATGCCAACTTCTCGTTCTCGAGTGCCACGGGGCTGGACAATTCCAATAGTTCGCTCGCGCTGGCTGTGGATCGGCTGCACTTTCGGGACACCTCGCAACAGGCGCATGCTCCGGTCAACAAAACGCTGCAAGCGCACAACAATAACAATTACAGCAGCAACAACAATGGCAACGCTACGACGGCCACGGCACTGGCGGACTTCTCCACATTCCAGGAGAACTCTTACTTTGCCACGCAGCACGATACGGAGGCGCAGGAGCGTCGTCTGTCCAAGGCAGTGGAAACGATTGCACGGCACTTGGCCAAGGAGGCCATCGATCCGTTCAACAGTGAATTGTGTCGCGCTTTTCTCACCAAACTGAATTTTCCAGGCGACGATGATGATCATGCGAGCTACAAGATTGTGCAAACGCCACTGCCAAAAATATCCAACACGCGCACGCTGAACGTGCTCGAGGGCGTGCAGTTCAACATTGACAAGGAGGTGGGCCGCGGCTCCTACGGTTCGGTGTACAAGGCCACAGATTCGCGCACAGGCAATGTGGTGGCGTTGAAGTACCAAAAGCCGCCAAACACCTGGGAGATTTATATTTGCGATCAGGTAAGCGATGGAGCCTAGAGCCAAAGCAAAAGAAAAAATCACTTAAAATTCCACTCTTCCTTTTCAGGTACTCAAACGCATCAAGGAACCGGAGGTGCTGCCTGGTTTAATGGACATTTCAACGGCCATAATTGCGCCCAATGCCAGCCTCATAGCCACCGAATTCTCGCCCTTTGGCTCGCTGCTGGACATCAACAATAAGATACGTCAGGCCACGACAAAAGTGATGCACGAGTCGCTGGTCATGCATTTCTCTGCGCAAATATGCAACATTGTGGATCATTTGCATCGCCAGCACATCATCCATGCGGACATCAAGCCGGATAACTTTCTGCTAATGCGTGTGCCCAGCGTGGACAGTCCGCTGCCATCGCTGCGACTCATCGATTTTGGTTGTGCCATCGACATGTCGCTCTTTCCCGACGGCGAGCACACAAAGTTCCGCAAGGTGGTGCAGACCGATGGCTTCACCTGCATCGAAATGCAAGAGGGACGCCCCTGGTCATACGAAACGGATCTCTTTTGCATTGCGGCCACCGTACATGTGATGCTGTTTGGGGAGTATATGCAGCCGCAGAAGCGCGGCACCAACTGGGACATACGCCAGAAGCTGCCGCGTTACCTCAAGAAGCACGTCTGGTCGAAGTTCTTTGGCGAGCTGCTCAATATGCAGGCGGACAAGTTGCCCGCGCTGCGCGAGATGCGCGACATCATCGAGGAGGAGTGCTATCGCATGGACTCGGAGCTACAAAAGCAAATACGAACGCTGTCCAACATACTGCATCGACGATAACCAAATCGATGTTCGCCGTTCGCCGTTTGCCGTTCCAATCTATTATTATAGTTTTATTTTATTTTAAACCTTTTGCCCCCCATTTGATCGTGAAATTTATAACACAAAAATTATTGTTAAAAAATGCTAAACGCTGAAAGTACATCCCCCCGACGCTCCCTCACTATAATTCTTAAGTTTAAAGTTTAATAATTAAACCTTTTCTTATAATTTATTATTTCGATGCCAAAAACCAATCAAACGAACGCTAAAAAACACAAACAACATTCAGACACTGTAAATAATTTAGACACAAACTCGACAGACCCAAAGGCAAAGACTTTTGTTGAGAGTTTGTGTAAAAACAAAACAAAACAAAAAACTAAATATCAAATTAAGTGAATATAAAGTGTAATTTTTGTATATGTACAGCAAACCTCAAAACAAAGCGCAAAATGTATCTATAAATATTAAGTAAAAAATTATAAGTAAAACAGCCCCCCACACAATTATCAGATTGAATTATCGTTCGATCTACTTGTACTATTGAGTAATATATAAAGAAACTTTAAATGATAGTAAATAAATTGACGAAATGTTAACACAAAAAGAAAACTAGTTGCAATTCCATCCAAATGGAATTAAAGTAGATATTTTAAGTGAGTTTATAACGAGGAAAATGGCGGGAGAGATGAGCATATAGTTGTAGCTGTTGGATTCGATATGTTTATGGCATGTGCACCCTGACAGCAACCACCTGCTCTTGAAATATTTAACAAAAGTGCCGAAAATTGTCATTATTCTGACTGGCAATGGCAATGGCAATGGCAATGGCATTCTGTTCCTTTTACATCCAATTGTCATGCTCCTGAGATTGCCGCAAACCGAATTCCAACTGGAGTGTCAATCGGTGGATGCTGCTCTACATAAATCGGGTTTATCAGTGGTTTGTCTCAACGATTTCGATATATTCCAACCCAATTTGTGGCAGCCACATAAATTAATGTTGTAGTTTCTTAATTTAGGAATATAAATCAAAATATACTAAGGCTAAGTAGGTGTACACAGAATCCTTCCTCACCAAGGCATATTGGCTATATAACAACGAATTGATCTGCGTATGAATGAATCACTGACTGATGAGGAGAAAACAGTTACAACTCCTGAAAATTGATCCCAGTCTGTTTCTTCTCTTTCATAATTATTTGGTCTATAATCGTTACGTTCCTCGCTTTGTATGTGAACAAACTTAAGGGGTAAATACATATGTTATTGCTTTGGACATTTTTGTGAGGCGAAAACAACGAGTGAAAACTCCTAGAAGCAGGAATGGTGACCAGCAACCGAGGAGAGCTAAGTTTATGCTCCTCCATAGCGTTGCCAAAAAGCCCTCACCTGATTACAATTATTTAAACGATGCGTGATCCAAAACTCTTTATATGAACAGGAATTTATTGGTTTTTGCGTGTGTACATAAATTCCAGTTAGCATTTACACATATTATCCATCCTTTAGTCTTATTTGCGGGACTTGGCCAAGACCTTCGATATGTCAAACCATTTGCGGCACACGGGACAACGTTCGGTCTCTGAATTGACAGTGATAAATTCGATGCAGACCGAACAGAACGAGTGTTGGCAACTCAACTTCAAGGGATTCTCTTTCGGACAGAAACAAATGACGCAAATGTCTTCATCACTGTTCTCGGCATCATCCCCAGGCGGCATGTCGCTACCGTTAGTCGCCATTTCTATGTCGATCACTTCCGGAAACTAAACAATGTTCCAACGTTATTAATTTTATATTTTTTTATGTTGGTTTTCTTACCGTTTTCAATGATTTTCTAGCTAGCTGTGTGCAAAGAAGCACAGTGTGGAGTTAAGTGACACTTTAAAACAGTGTTGCATAACGTCAAAATCTAGCGGCACATGTAAATGTATTGGGATGCCAGTGCACATATGTATGTGATGCAGCTGTGTCTGTGTTTCGTGACCCATTTAAGCATTGACCTTGGCCGCATGACCCGTTTCTGTATAAGTGATCTTCAATTTGCTCTTTGTTAAAGGTTCCCCACCCCCCCAGTGTACATAAAAATCGCAAAAATATAAACATTATTTGGTTCTAATAAAACTAAATCCACATAACAAAATATCAATCCATTAAGTAAATTTTACAATTTATTTATTCAACATAAAACATTTCCAAAACCAAAGAAGATCTTTAGCCCGTGGCTGTGGCTTCCTGAAGCCAGTGACTGGCAGCGACGATGGCAGCAGCGGCACCAGAAGCTTAGGTGGCGGTGTCGGCGAGGATATATACCAGCAGCCTAGCAGCCAACAGCTGCCTCAGTGACAGTAGGGAGCCTACGTGGGGCCCGTATGCACGTATGACACCACGATAGCCGCAACGGCCAGCACTGGAACGCCCGTAATAGTGTCATACGACCATACATTCTTATAGCAGCCTTCATCAGTCTGCAAGGGAAGGGCAAGCTTATGGACACCAATTTGAGTGATCGCTTGAATTCGTGGCTCTGATTTTGTTGCCATATCCAAGCGGAGCCTTGAAAATATCTCGATGTATCGATGCATGCAAAGAGCCAGCAAGTCCTCCAGGACTTTGGACACTCCCCAAAGCATTTGCTCATGTTTCCCAGAGCCAGAAGGTCCCCGTTGATATTGAGGACCGACTTGAATCATTCGCCTCTGGCGAAAGTCTGCGCAGCGTTGCACCCAGTCGCGGATGTGGCTCCGGCTTTGCCTTCGACTCCTTCTCCACTCAAGTCAGCCACTCACTATTGTGCATTTGGCTGGGGTTCGGAAAAAAGTCTTCAACTTCGGCACTGGCAACTGATGATCCGCTACCGCCTTGGCGGTAGCCAAGCCTCGACAACTGAAAAGAATATTCTGGAAGCTCGTATAGTGAAAAAAAAAGTGTTGAAAAACATTTTAGGGCCTAGCGCAGCAGCCTAGCCGGTCAATTACTGAAAATTATAAATAAAAAATAAGCGCAAAAACAAATAATACACAATGTACATATAGTCCCAAAAACCATCCTCAAGACCCTCCATTATTGTTACAATTATTTGTGTGTTGTGTTGTTTTATTTATTACAAATTGCTGCCCCAATCATGTACTGAGCTGTTGAAGATCGGATTTAACAAGGACACTTCGATTTTAACAGGATGTCAACATTTTGACGGCACATTGGACAGCGGAGGGTACTGAGGCGAGGCTCGATTAATACCCAGACCGACTCTTGAAGGCACTCCTGGCAGAAGGAGTGACCGCAGGGCAACTTGAATTCATTTTCCATCGGAAGCAAGCAAATTCGATTACAATCCAACTTCGAGAATATTCTTTGCAATTGTGTCGATAACCCAATAGACTTAAAGACAGTGAATTCGAAGAGGAGAGACATGAGACATGGGGAACAAATTTGAGAAGGAAAAAGACTTGGCACTGCACTGAAGCTGGAGCCGTTTTGCCAGCAAGGAAGGACCGATGAGTATCGTCTTTAGATGTGGAAATGTTTTATATTGAATAAAATATTTTAATAGATAAAAGTATCGGTTACATTTCTGGGATTTTTATATCTGTTTGGTCTCGACAATCTGCTTATCTGTTTAACCAAATTCTGCTCCAAATTAGAATACCCCCAAACGTGTGTGTGTTCCCGCCATTGGTATGAAAAAGGAAAGCAGCTTTAACCCAATTTCATAAATCAAATGCCGCAGCACAACAAAACTCTCTGTGGGGCTCTGTGGCAGGCAATTGTCAATTAAGTGGGGTGGCAGCGGCGGCATGCAACAAGTAACAGCAACAACTGCAACACACAGCCGCAGCGACAGCATCTAACTGCGAGTGCAACTGCAACAATGGTGCGCTTGACCCACTTTTCCTTTTTGCCAGGCACAGCCAAACGGCGAAACAATTTCCACCAAGCGACTGGAAAAAGTTTTTCACGCGAGAGAGAGAGAGAGAGAGAGAGAGGCAAAGTCAAAGTCGACGCTTGCGCCGCTGCTTGGTGCGCCTGTCGCTTGTTGGTTGCCTGCCGCCTGCCGCTTGCCTCCTGCCTGCTTGTTGCATTTTGCTTGTTGGCGTTGCACCGCACGTTGGCCAAGTGAAAGTAAAGTGGGACAAATGCAATTATTATTGCATCTAGTAACCGACTTAGAAGTCGTGGCAGCTAGCGCCAAACAAAAAAAATTGCAGTTGGAAAGTTGCCGCTGCCACAGCCGCAGCCACAGGCACGGCTTTTACACAATATTTTTATTTAATCAAATTGCAAAGAGAAAATTGCAATTGGCAAAAGAAAAACTTTCTATTTTTTTGTGTGTCGACTGCAATTTCCACCGATTGCAGCTGCCACAAACACACACACACACACACAGATGAGCATTATGTATCTGTGTGTGCATTTGGCGGATTGTTTTGCATGCGATAAATTAATGAATGGTGTCCCAGTTCGCTGCTTTGGGCATTGAGTGACAAATGAAGTTGTCTTTTCTCTATGTCTGTTTTGCTGTCTGTGTGTGTGTGTGTGTGTGTGTGTGTGTGTGTGTGTGTGTGGCAGAGAGATGCCAAGCGAAGCGAATGACAATGCGAAGTTTATTAGATCACTGGGGCACCCATCCACTCACTGCCACTGGCACTGCGACTGCGCGACTACAGCTCTCAATCGCCCATCGAAAAGTGGGCAGAACCCAAAAAAATATCAAATCAAATAGAATTAGAAAGAGCAAACAAAGAAAGAACTTAATAGATCAAGATTGTACATACGCGCGCTCTTTGGGACATAATTAATTTATTTCTAATTAAAAAAAAAACTCAAAAATATAGGAAATTTAATGTTTTTGCATTTAACTATTATAGTTTCGATGCCTGCTCTTTGCACGTCAAATAACATGATTTCTGTTCAGTGTACCAAGTCGTAATCGCAGCTAATTAGGGGATATTCTACGATTAATTCGTAATTAATTATTTTCGTAAAATTGAAGTCGCTTTGTCGGAGTTTTTATTCGCTTAAATAACAAAAAAAAAAACTATATGACAATAATTCTAAAATCTTGTTGTTCTGCAATGAAAAACTTATGATTCAATTTTTCTTAGCTTAACTAAGAACCAACTTTGTATTTTTACTTATTATTAAAACAATTAAATTGTCTCAAAATACTTTGAAAAAGTAAAAAAAAAACCGAAAATATATTAATGGGTGATAATTGCAACATTTCTTTAACACTCTCAATATCAGAAATATTTTTTAAGTCCCTTTTTCATTTGCACATTTATTATTCACATTCTCATATTTATCTATTTTTAATTAATTACCATGCCTTCATTTGTAGAATTTTTGTTGTACACATTCCTTAAGTGCAAAAACCCATCCATGATGACTCTTTCCCATCGGCTCCCATTGATTGCACCAAAAGAACCTTTTGTGAACTTTACCTCTGCATTAAGTTAAGGTCTGGGCCACGAGCTGAAGACCAGACCCTGACTCATTTGGGAATTTAGGGTCGATGCAGTCGGTTGGTTAGTCATTTCAGTGACTAAGTGGAGTTCTTGTGGACAGTCTGAGTCTGATCCCCCCCCCGCTTGTCGTGTCAATGGCAAAAGTTGTTCGATGGCTGGGCAGGGAATGAGACCCTAGGCAGGGACCTAAATTGCAGTTTGCAGTTGCAGTTTGCAGCAGGCGGAATGCATCAGTGGGCACACATGGACACGCACCTATACTTACATAGTTGCAACACAGCAACACATAATCGAGCTCTCCCCTTGAATTTTGCGCGTTGTTTGCCATTTGATTGTCATGACCAACTTTTCACTGGCGTTGCTTGCTTGCAGCTTGCTTCTCATGTTGCCTGCCCCTTGGTGGGCATGGCTCTGACTCTAACACTGGCTAATATGCAACAACATGCAACCAGTGCTTGCAGCAAATTGCACGACAAAGCGAAAACTGGGAAAATAGTTAAGTAATTTGCAGTGGAAAGCAGTTTGGAGAAATTCGTTTTTCTTGCTTGCTCTGCAGCTAGATGGTTGCATGCGCAGCCACTGTTGTTGCTGCTATTGCATTGTGGCACACATAATGCGCCCCACGTTCACGTTGCAGTTGCAGTTGCTGTTGCTGTAGTTGTTGTTGCTGCTGCCGCGATCCACATCCGTTTTGAGTTGCTGTTTTGCTGTTGCCGCATTAGAAAGTTGCAACTGCAACTGTCATGGGCCGATGCTGCCACCGCTGCCACCGCTGCTACCACTGCCACTGCCAATGCTGCTGCTGCTGCAGCTTTTCTTTTTCCCACTCGCCAAATCGGGGCTAACGTGCAGGCAACACTATGCAACAGCGTGCCACAACTGCCACAACTGTAATGAGTTTTGACCTCATAAAAATCTTTGGCTGCATTTTCTCTCTTCTATTAGGGAAACCGAATTTTTCTTTTGCAATTTGACTATGGTATTAGAGAAACGTTTTTTTTAGTTTTTTGCAATAGATTACACGAATTTTCTAGAAGATTATAGACTTGCAATACGATTATACATTAGGGGAAAGTTAAACACTGAAATGTTGGATGTCCTTTCATAAAAGTTTTCATTTTATATTCGTTGGAATTGAAAAGTTTCTTGGGTTTACATACAGAAATTTCAGCCATGATCAATCTTGAATTCATTTGATTTGCCAAAACTTAGAACTGAAATTCCAAATTGATCATTTCAGTGCCATAACTGACCTAGATCCACATAATACCCCACTTTATTCAGCAATTACTGGCAGCTGATTGCAGCAATAGGTGACTCATTAGATTGACTTATATTGGTAGATATTCTTGTAGCTTTAGTTAAGCGAACTAATTCGGTAGGTGACACCCATCGACAACAATTAAAAT